CACAATGCCTGGCTATTTTTTGGTTATAGTTGTCATTGTTGTTTGGTGGGGCCCGGGTTGTATTCGAACCCGCCACCTTAGGTGTACATGGCTGGTGCCTTAGCCACTTAAGCCACAGACACTGAGCCCCTCTATACATTTTAAGTTGGAGTTATTCACCCAGAATACGTCCCTTGCCCCAGTTAGGTGTGGATTTATCCCCCCCCCCCCACCGGCTTGATTCCTGTTAAGTTTTACTCCCACAGGTGCACATAAGTGTTGATTAACTAGTTCTAATTTAGTATTGAGTACGTGAGTTGTTTGTTTTTCCATTTTTGTGATACCTTGCTTGGAATAACGGTCTCCAGTCCCATCCAGGTTGTTACAAAAGATGCTAGATCACCATTTTTTTAATTATTGAGTAGTGAGTATATTTTTTTTTTTCAGTTTTTGGCCAGGGCTGGATTTGAACCCTCTACCTCCGGTATATGGGACCAGTGCCCTACTCCTTGAGCCACAGGCGCTGCCAGAGAGTATTTATTTATTTATTTTTTTGGTGACACAGAGCCTCAAGCTGTCTCCCTGGGTAGAGTGCTATGGCATCACAGCTCACAGCAACCTCCAACTCCTGGGCTCAAGCAAGTCTCTTGCTGCCACCTCCCAAGTAGTTGGAACTACAGTAGCCCGCCACAAGGCCCGGCTATTTTTTTGGTTGCAGCCGTCATTGTTGTTTGGTGGGCCCGGGCTGGATTCGAACCTGCCAGCTCAGGTGTATGTGGCTGGCACCTTAGCTGCTTGAGCCACAGGCACCGAGCTGAGAGTATCTTTTTTATAAATTACTTACCAAAGCTTTGTTTAAGGCAAGCTAAATAGTAGAATCACTTATTGATCAGTTATTAACTGTAATTCTAAAACTCAACTTTTTAAATTGCATATTTCTCAATCTTAGTTTAACAAGTGTTTCCTGGGCAATTAGATTATACCTCAGAGGTTTGTTGGGGTTTATCACCTGAGTCACATTTATTGCCCTTGTGAATCAGCTGAAGGCACGCTTATCAGTAGAAAAATGTCAAATAGGATGGGCATGGTGGCTTACCACTGTGATCCCAGCACTTTGGGAGGCTGTGGTGGAAGAATCACTTGAGGCCAGTTGTTCAATACCGGCCTGAGCAACATGCTGAGACACCGCCCCCCCCCCCGACACACAAAAATAGAAAAATTAGCTAGTTGTGGTGGTGTGACCTGTAGCACCAGCTACTCGGGAGGCTGAGGTAGGAAGATCACTTAAGCCCAGGAGTTCAAGGCTGCAGTGAGCTATGAAGACACCACTAGCCTGGGTCTCAAAAAGACAGAAAAATCAAATAACATTGGAGTCATCGTGTCTTCCCTGGTGATGTGATTAATTTTGAAGATGTAGTAAGGCCTTTTATACGGTATTATCCAGCGTTCATTCAGAATTCTTCCAGTTAAAATCAGAGAGGGTAGAGAGAGAAACAATATTCCCTGAACTCTGCAAGGGGCTTTGCATACTTTTTGTCCTTAATTCACTTACGAATCTGTACAACTCAATACTCCACTTTATAAATGGAATACCTGAAGACCTGAAATGTTAAGTAACTTGCCTAAATTTGTACCATCAGTAAGTACAGTCATTCTGATGCTAAAATCCCTGGACGCCCTTAAATCATAATGTGATGATTAAAGGGATCTGCTGTATCTGTACATTTATATGAAGGCATACTGATAAATTAGCTGGGTGTTGTGACTGGCGCCTGTACTCCCAGCTACTCAGGAGGCTGAGGCAAGAGGATCACTTGAGCCCAAGAGTTTGAGGTCGCTGTGAGCTATGACACCACGGCCCTCTACCCAGGGTAACATACATACATACATACATAAATAAAATGGAATAAAAGTATACTGAATATTCAAACACAAGACAGTTATCTGTTGCTGAATGATATTTTATTAGCTTGACAATTTGGGCCTGCCCTTAGCATTAATAAGCTTCAGCACTAATCATAAGATTTTCATTCACTGATGGGGAAACCTTCTTGTTTTAAAAAATGCAGTTAGAGAAAGGGCATCTACTTCTTGGGAGCTGCAGTGACAGCAGGCTTCTCTTCACGGGTGATGGGAATGGTGCGCTCAGGGCCAGGGGCCGCTTTCCTTGGTCCGTTCACAGTGAGGACCCCATCAGATGACAGGGATGAAGTAATGGCCATAGGGTCCACATCAGCTGGGACTCGGTATTTCCTGTGGAACTCTCTGGAGATGAAACCGTGTTCATCCTAATCCAAGAGAACAAGGCAAAAGGCAGAGATGAGAGCAGGATAGAATATCATCTGTCCAGAATTCAGGCATCCCCATCTCCCTTAGGGGAGACCAAATGCTGTCACAAAATGAGGCAAAGAAAATAGGTGCTCATTTCAGATTTGCGGCTAAGATGAAGTTGCCTGGGTGGTCACGTCTACCAGCAAAAGTCTGTGAAGTATAAAACAGCCCAGATCTTCACAGTTTTTCAAACTCTGAGGCACATATACATTTAGGGGTACTTCCCAAAAGTTTTAAGGGTGTCCAACCTGCAGCCCACGGGCCACATTTAGATTATTTGAGGACTGTTTTGTTTATCTGTGGTGTCATCTTATGAAAAGCTCGGCGCCTATGGCTCAACCGGCTAAGGCGCCAGTCACATACACCTAAGGTGGCGGGCTCGAATCCCCAGCCCGGACCCGCCAAACAACAATGACGGCTGCAACCAAAAAATAGCCGGGCGTTGTGGCGGGCGCCTGTGGTCCCAGCTACTTGGGAGGCAGAGGCAGGAGACTCGCTTGAGCCCAGGAGTTGGAGGTTGCTGTGAGCTGTGATGCCATGGCACTCTACCCAGGGGGATAGCTTGAGGCTCTGTCTCAAAAAAAAAAAAAGAAAAGTATCTACAGATCTTTTTTTTAATTTTTTTGCTCATCAGCTTTCATTAGTGTTTTTGTATTTTATGTGTCACCCAAGACCCAACTCTTGTTCTTCCACTGTGTGGCAGAACAGTAAAAAGATCGAACACGCCTGGTAGATCAATGTTGGTTGGGCCCGTAGGATTTGGAATCTCATCCTGGTACTGAGCATCTGAGTCCCTGAGGAAGCCCAGGAAATTATCCTGACTCTTCAGGAATGTCCCAGAATGTTCCAGACCAAGAGACTACTGCTTTAAAAAAAAGAAGTGACTCCATGTAGGGATACTGTGACCCAAACTTAAATCAGACAGGGTGTCCACGAAGTTCATGTGCGATTTGAAATAGTCCAAGTAAAACCAAAGCAGCCTGAGGACGCACTGTACTAGTTGTCCTAATGCACAGTGTGTGAGTTACCACTAACTGGCAGGAGGCAATTTTAAAGCCATCACAGAAAGTCATGAGAATTCATTCCATTCATCAGAACTTTCCAAAGAGTAGTTGACCCTTATGCCTGCTGAATCTCAAGCATTTATCCAAATAGGTTCTCAATTAACTGATCTCCACATGGGCAATAGAGGATTAGAAGATGAATATGGGCAAGCCATGTAGCTCGGCATTAAGATGGGCAAAAGAGCAGTAAGTTTCTGAACATCTAAAAGAAAAGTCACAAACTCAAGTGCTTTCAGGGTACATGTTGTTAATGTAATTATGTGCAGCAACCAGGTCCAACTGTAGATTAGAATTACCAAGGGAGCTTTAAAAAATTCTGATGTCTTGAACCAATCTCTAAAATTCTTATTTAATTGGCCTGAGGAATGCCTGAGTACTGGGATTTTTGAAAACTCTCCTGGTGATTCTAATGTGGCCAAGTTGAAAAACATTGGCTTAACTGGGGAGGGAATATCCCATCCATTCCATCTAAGACAATCAAATCAAAATAACAGAAGCCATTTCTCTGACAATAACAGTAACAAAGCAGGTCTATTGTCTATCCCCTAAGTGAGTCTTCTAGGCATTGATTTATAACCCCTGATCCAGACCCTTACAGCTTGGGACTGTAATGTCCCTAGTCTCAGAGGCTGATAACAGTGCCTGGCGTATTATAGTTTGCACCGAATGAATGAGAAAGAAATAGGCGACATACCTGGCGTTCTTCATGTTTGCCATGCACCTCAATCACATCTCCCGTCACCTTGACTTTGAGTTCCTCTGGGGAGAAGTGCTTCACATCCAGGTTGACTGAAAACCTGTCCTTGTCCAGGCGCATCTAGAATTAACAAGGTGAGGGAATGAGGAAGGAGAAAAAATGGCAAGAATGTTTATAACATTGGCCCCATCTCATCGTTCTGCAGACTTACTTTCTCCCCAGGTAATTTGTTCTCCTCTTTTCTGCTAAAAATCCTTTTTTGAATAAACATGGCTCTCTGGTTCAGGGGAAGCACGCCAATGGTACTCAGGGCTCTTGGCCATCAGGCCCAAACTTTATTTACAGGGACAGATAAAACAGATCACACAGGGGACCAATCACAGCATGGGTCTGGGCATAGCTTCTGTTGCCTCTCTAACCTCAATGCCTGACTTTGTCATTTGTCTGTGAGACAAAGGCCCTTTCTTCTTGCTCAGATGTCTGCCAAATTTTCCACCCACCCAATCTGGAATGTTATACTGGTCCTGCTTGTCCTTCCAAAAGCCCTTGCCCAGTCAGCTCCTGTTTACTCATACTTGAGTATTTTTAATCAAGAGTGTTATGTGTGTCAGCTTCTGTACCTGGTCTGTTCACCCCATTCTTATCCTAAGAGGGGTCCCAAGACCAGATTTATATTTTTCCCCTCATGAGTCTAGGACCCAGGCGGGTTCCTGGTCCCTGCCCCACAGACCCAAGGGGAAATTATAGAAGAGAGAATAGAAAGGAGGAAAATAGTGGTTGTGGTCTCCAGCTCCACCCAGTGGAGATGAAGAGCTCAGGATGAGGCAAGAGTCTCTCCTGGCTCTGAAATTTGAGATGATAAAATTTGTCAAGAGGGAGAGGTATATTATAGAAGAGGTGAGCAAAGGAGTTCAAAGGCAGCTCCTTCCCTGCAGATTAGGAACCACACCAGGAAAGGGTATTCTGCTTAGAAGTCAGAGCATAGAGGATGTCATCTTCACAGTGCACGGAAAAATATAACAAATAGGATTCAGAGACCATCAAATAGAAACAGGTGTGGGGGGAGGCAGGCACTAGTAACCTCACTTTTCTTTACTTTTGGACACACATATGCCTAAAATGGTTTAGGCAGAAAAGGAAAGAAAAACAGATGGAAAAGTTCACAGGGGTTCCAGGAAGGATTGATTCTCTTGTCCTGGCAGAGGGTAGACTCACCTCCGAGAGCCCAGTGTCAATCCAGCTGGGTGCCCGCAGGAACGAGGGTGGCCGAAGGTAGAAGGGACTCAGGGAAGTTGAAGTCGGGAAGAGATCAGACTCCAACAGGTGCTCTCCGAAGAACTGGTCAAAGAGACGGCTCGGGGAGTGGAAAGGGAAGAAGGGGCGGCGGATCCAGGGGTGGTGGATGGCGATGTCCATGGCGGCTAGGTGAATGTCGGGGGTCAGCTGGCTGGTCAGCTCCTTCAGCCGCAGCTAAGGCCAGCCTCTTATATATGCAGTCTTGTGAAGCTTCTGGAATGGTGATGTCAGGGGTTTTATTATCCCAGCTCACCGCCGGTTCATGGAGACTTGTGATCGGGGATTTGGCAGTGTGACACATACCCAGTACTCACTGAGCTAAGAAAAGAGAAACCCAAACACGTCTGAGCTGGCCAGTGACTTGTCAAGGTCTCCTTTCACGCGCTGTCCGTCCACACCCAGGGGCACCCACCCCGACCCGGTTCTCTGAAGCTGGGACAGAGTCAGGAATCCCAAGCGGGCGTGCGGTGTGCCCCTCCTCCTCCTCCTCTCCAGTCTTGCATGCCAGGGAAATCGGCCAGCAGCTATCTTGGGCCTGGGCAGAGACTGGAATCTTCCTAGGCTGGGCCCCAGGGACATTAACTCTTTGTGGGTCCCTGGCAGGGAATAGTGACGGTCAACATGTCCGGACCATCTTCGTGGTGCCCTGGGTTGACTTGGGTTCAGGAGAGGTCCCTGACATTAATCTGGGCAGAAGACCCCAATTCCCAAAAGGGACAGAAAAGGATTTTTGATTTTTGGTTTTGTTCTTGTGTTGCATATTTCATCTATGTGTCTCCCAGGTCATTCAATAATCCAGGAGTACTTTATGAAGCAGGGGGCATGGTGCCTGGGACACAGAAGTGGTGTGGAAACGTGCAAACCGTCAGTGAGGGTCTCAGCGAGGCCTGCCTTTGTCCTCTGGCACCAGATCCCCTCTCCAGCTCACTCCGCAGCCAAGACCCTCAGCTGTCCTCTCCGGTCCCCCGCGACAGCTGAAAGGTGTGGGGGGAGGGGTAGGGGTCCGGCGGCGCTGGTCACACCCTGTCGCTCACCCTCGGGCCCCCACTCCCCGCCCCTCCCCCCAGAGGCTCCGCACTATTTTGGGTGGTGTAGACCCCGCCCCCACCTCCGACGAAGTCCGGGCTCTCCCAGCAGCCGGAGGGGTCCTGCTGCGCCTCCTGGGGCTGCACCTGACGCCGGGGCCGCCGCCGAGTCCGCACCGCGCAGCCATGTCGGGCCGCTCGGTGCCACACGCCCACCCGGCCACCACCGAGTACGAATTTGCCAACCCGAGCCGCCTGGGTGAGCAGCGCTTCGGAGAAGGTATGGCACAGACGCCACCCCCTTGCCTCTCCCCCCACCTCCTGAAATTCTGGGCTGACCACCCAAAGTTTCTGGCCTCCACCCCACTTGGGGCTTAACTGATCTCCTGGGGCAGGCCGTCCCCCAGCCCAGACTCCCCCCCAACCCCCTAGGGCGGGCTCTGCCCTCCCCTTACTGAGCTCGGGGCAGACAGGTGCCTGCCGTGCTCAGACACCTGCCCCTTACCGGCCGCGAGGTGCCTCCTGGTTCCCGTTCTATCAGTCCAGACCCAGCGTGGTCTGCCTTTTCCTGGACCTCTGTTCCTTTCTCAATCCACCCTGCCCAGCTGCCTCTCCTCCGAGCTACCGTGCGCTCCTTTCCCCTTCCCTACTTTTCCCGACTCCCTCCTGCTCTTCCCAATCTCCCTCTCCCCTGCTTTCACCCGGGGCCCAGCTGGTCCTCCCTCATCCTGCCTCTCGCCTTCTCTCTGCCCCTCAGGCCTCCTGCCAGAAGACATCCTGACCCCCACGCTCTACCACGGCTACTACGTCCGGCCTCGGGCCGCCCAGGCTGGGGAGGGCAGCAGGGCAGGGGCCTCGGAGCTTAGGCTCAGTGAGGGCAAGTTCCAGGCGTTTCTGGATGTAAGCCACTTTACCCCAGATGAGGTGACGGTGAGGACTGTGGACAACCTGCTGGAGGTGTCTGCCCGGCACCCCCAGCGCCTGGACCGTCATGGCTTCATAGCCCGAGAGTTCTGCCGCACCTATGTCCTGCCCGCGGACGTCGACCCCTGGCGAGTCCGAGCTGCCCTCTCCCATGATGGCATCCTTAACCTGGAGGCGCCTCGGGGTGGCCGACATTTGGACACAGAGGTCAACGAGGTCTACATCTCCCTGCTCCCTGCACCTCCTGATCCAGAGGACGAGGAGGAGGCAGCCGGAGTTGAGCCTTGACGGTCCCAGGCCCAGCCCCCAGCAAGTCCCTTTCCAACTCCCACGTTGACGCCAGCAGCTGCCGGCCAGAGGTGCAGCATCCCTGGGGGAAGGAAAGGAAGCATGGTCCACAATGTATGGTTTGGTCCCAAGGGACGTGTCATAGCCTTCGGTTTAGTTTTGGATGGAGCCGAATAAACCCAAATCTCAGGGCCTTGTTTGTGCGGCTCCCTATTCCGTGGCCGGGAGGACAGAATGGGCAGGGAGGGAGGTGGTCCCAGCCTGCTAGACAGGAGCTCCTCAGTTAGACGTGCAAACGTCAGGGCACCCTGAGCTGCATTTGGATGCTGAGATCACACCCGGAAGCTGCCCCTGGCTCCGGATCAAATTCCTCACCATAATTTTCTCACAATGCAACAAAAGAGAGTGTGATCCTGGGAGGGAAAGGGATATGCCATCCAAACAGCCCGGAGGGCACTGTCTGAGCTGGCGATTAGAGACACAAAAACAAGGGTCTCCAGACTGTCTGGCCCTTTTTTGGGTAGGGGTTGGGAAAACGGTTTTTGGCTGAAGATAGGTGCCTAAAGCCCTGGGGTGAATACTTTGTTTTCTCACACTAAGGCCTGTCTGCTGAAATGGTCACTGATTTTGAGGGACTGAGGATGCACACAGAGGGGCACAGACACGGAAGCTGCTATCATTATCACTGAACCCCTCAGGAAAGCCTGAGGGTCTGTCCCCTCAATTACTCTCTGCATTCAAGAGATCATGCGTGTATGTGATTTGAAGACTGTCCAGAAGACCTCCCTGCCCCAAAATATATTTTATACCAAGCTATGGAGGACACCTAAAATTCTTCCCTGAAAGTGGTGTTTTTTTAGGGTTACAGACCCATCTGAAAATCCAACAAGAGCCTATTGTAGATGCCTTACCAGAAAAATACCCATGCTCCCAAATTTGGTAATATAATTTGAATGGGTTCCCACAACTCTTGAGATACATTCCTATACCTCTCTTAGGGATCAGTGGACCCCCAGGACAACTCTCACTTGAGGAATTCATTTTTTTGGTTAAAAGATTGTCATCTATTAAAAATGAAAGCTTACTTCAGAGAAACATTGATATATTCAAGTGTTCATTTATTCATTCATTCATAAATATGTATCAAGCCCCAAGCAATACACTATAGAAGACATAATCGTAAACATAAAAACTATGGGTTTGGACTGTCTACTTTCAGGATTCTTAATATCTAGTTGAGAAGAAAAAGAATAAAAGGATTCTACTCAGACTTCAGCCAGAACATTTGCTTTGTAATTGAGCTTTATTTAAAAGAAGGATTTCCTAGTTAGAAAAAAAAAATTGAGAATCTCCAATTTAGTCCAAATCCCCACCCCATTCAAATTCTTTTAAAGGTATTATGACAGTTCTGGGACATTTTCAGTGGCAGACAACTTAGAACTTTGTAAAGTAGCCCACTCCATTTTCTTTTTGCACTTAACCATTACAAATTCTTCCTTTTGTTGAATCAACATTTGCATTTCCATAAATTCTGCCCATTGGTTTTGGTTGTGTCCAGAAAACAAATGCAACCCTTCTTTGACTTAAATTTCTTCAAAGGTTCCCCTTTTCCAGCTAAACCTGCCTACTTCTTTTACCGTATTTTGTAGCACCTTCCATTTCATTATCCAGACGACTTTCTTTTGAACACACTGCCTTTTAACAATTGAAATTCACCTTGAAATTCAACATGTAGGCTCGGCGCCTATAGCTCAACCGGCTAAGGCGCCAGCCACGTACACCTAAGGTGGCGGGTTCGAATCCCCAGCCTGGACCCGCCAAACAACAATGACGGCTGCAACCAAAAAAATAGCCGAGCGTTGTGGCGGGCGCCTGTGGTCCCAGCTACTTGGGAGGCGGAGGCAGGAGACTCGCTTGAGCCCAGGAGTTGGAGGTTGCTGTGAGCTGTAATGCCACGGCACTCTACCCAGGGGGACAGCTTGAGGCTCTGTCTCAAAAAAAAAAAAAAAAAAAAAAAAAAGAAATTCAACATGTAGACCTAGTTATTATTATTCTAGTCATGGGTTGACCAGTACAGACGTCAATGGAATAATCAATACCCTTATCATTTTAGACATCTAGTAATACTACTTAAGGCATATCAGGTTTTCTGGATTATTGGTTCCTTTGGCGTTTCTGGCCATCTGACAATCCTTTAGGTGTTATTTTTAAAAATTACAATGTGGCTACAAAGGTACTACCAGATTGTGGGGGGTGGGCTTTGAGTGCCAGGCTCTCTCCCATAGATACAAGTAACAGGAAGAAATCATTAATGGCTTTTGAGCTGTGTGGGGAGAGGTAGGTAATAGGACAAAAAAGGAAGCAGGGAATGGTTTGCAGGGGAGAAGCATGGCCCTGAAATACTGCAATGACTGGAGCACAAGATAAAATAAGATGCATGGTCCACCTGATTATCACCTTAGAACAGAAATAATAATAGTAAGTCAGGCAGGTATGGTGGCTCACGCCTGTAATCTTAGCACTCAGGGAGACTGAGGCAGGAAGATTGCTTGAGCTCAAGAGTTTGAGACCAGCCTGAGCAAGAACGAGATACCGTCTCCACTAAAAATAGAAAAATTAGGCAGGTTTTGTGGGCAGGCACCTGTAGTCCCAGCTACTCAGAAGGCTAAGGCAATGAGGATTGCTTGAGCCTAGGAGTTTGAGGTTGCTTTGAGCTATGATGACACCAAGGCATTCAACCCTAGGGTGGGAGAGTGAGACTCTGTCTCAAAAAAGAAAGAAAGAAAGAAAGAATAATAACTATAACTCTCTAACTCCGTAAGAGTTACGGAGACCTTTCCATGTGCCAGGCTCTGGACCAAAGCTCTACATACACAGATCTCATTTAATCTTCCTCATACTCCTACAAATTTGTTACAAGCCAATGGACAGGAGTTCGAGTTCAAAGTCCAGGGTACTCTGGAGTGCAGAGCTGAGTGGTGGGCTCTGAACATCGGTAAAGAACATACAAATAACCAGGCATCAAAGCAAGATACTAAGGATGGGATGAGGGCACTGAAGACAGAATTATGTTTCAAAAATTCTCCTAGGGCCTATATCCTCTTTCTCTTTTTTTTTATTTCAGGTTAACGTGAGGGTACAAACAACTAAGTTGTAATATTTGCATTTGTTAGGTAGAATCCCTCTTATAGTTGTGTCCCACACCCAAGAGGTGTGGCATATACCCTTACACTGTGCCCAGTAAGTGGGAGCACACCAATCCTTGGCCTCCTTCCCTTTCCCCATCCCTCATTCTTCCCTCCCCCCCAACTTGAATTGAATCGAGTTTTTCTCTTATGTGGGTATGTATGAGATTGTCCACTAACTTCATATTAGTATTCAGGACATTGGGTATTTGCTTTTCCTTTCTTATGGTACTTTACTAAGAAGAATGTCTTTCAAGTCCATCCAGGTTAATACAAAAGATACAAAGTCGCCCTCTTTTGAAGGCGATCAAAGGTATCCAGATAGGATCAGAGGAGACCAAACTCTCACTCTTCACTGATGACTTGATCTTATACCTGGAAAATCCCGGGGACTCAACTTCAAAACTCTTAGGAGTGATCAAGGAATACAGCAGTGTCTCAGGATACAAAATCAATACTTACAAGTCAGTAGCTTTTATATTCGCCAATGATAGTCAAGCTGAAAAAACAATCAAGGACTCTATTACTTTTACAATAGTGCCAAAGAAGATGAAATATCTGAGAATTTACCTAATAAAGGATGTGAAAGATCTCTATAAAGAGAACTATGAAACGCTGAGAAAAGAAATAGGTGAAGATGTTAACAAATGGAAAAACATACCATGCTCATGGCTGGGTAGAATCAACATTGTTAAAATGTCCATACTATCCAAAGAAATCTACAGATTTAATGCAATCCCTTTAAAGCACCATTGTCATATTTTAAAGAACTTGGAAAAAATAGTACTTCCTTTTATATGGAATCAGAAAAAAACTCAAATAGCAAATACATTACTCAGAAATAAGAACATATCAGGAGGTATCACATTACCAGACTTCAGGCCATACTACAAATCTATAGTGATCAAAACAGCATGGTACTGGCACAAAAACAGAGTGGTAGATTTATGGAACAGAATAGAGAAACAAGAGATGAACCCAGCTGCTTATTGTCATTTGATCTTTGACAAGCCTATCCAAAATATTCAGTGGGGGAGGGCAGTGGTACGGCACCTGTGGCTCAAAGGAGTAGGGCACTGGCCCCATATACCAGAGGTGGTGGGTTAGAACCCAGCCCCAGCCAAAAACTGCAAAAAAAAAAAAAAAAAAAAAAATTCAGTGGGGGAAAATTCCCTATTTAACAAATGGTGCTGGGTGAACTGGCTGGCAACCTGTAGAAGACTGAAACTGGACCCCCACCTTTCACCATTAACAAAAATTGATTCTACTGGGTAAAAGATTTAAACTTAAGACATGAAACTATAAAAATACTAGAAGAGAAAACAGGGAAAACACTTGAAGAAATTGGCCTGGGAGAATATTTTATGAGGAGGACCCCCCTCGGCAATTGAAGCAACACCAAAAATCCATCACTGGGATCTGATCAAACTAAAAAGCTTTTGCACAGCCAAGAACACAGTAAGTAAAGCAAACAGACAACCTTCAGATTTTTGCAGGTTATGCTTCTGACAAAGAATCTACAGAGAACTCTAATCAATAATAAAAGAATAAATAATCCCATTTCTAGGTAGGCAAGAGACTTGAACAGAAACTTCTCTGATGAAGACAGGCGCATGGCCTACAAACACATGAAGAAATGCTCATCATCCTTAATCATCAAAGAAATACAAATAAAACCACTCTGAGATATCATCTAACTCTAGTAAGATTAGCCCACATCACAAAATCCCAAAACTACAGATGTTGGTGTGGATGCAGAGAGAAGGGAACGCTTCTACACTGCTGGTGGGAATGCAAGCTAACATGACCTTTTTGGAAAGAAGTTTGGAGAACACTCAAGGAACTAAAAGTAGACCTACCATTCGATCCTGCAATATTCCTCTGCTAGGCATATACCTAGATGATCAAAAATTATTTTACAACAAAAACATTTGCACCAGAAGGTTTAATGCAGCCCAATTCATAATAGCCAAGACATGGAAACAGCCCAAGTGCCCATCAACCCATGAATGGATTAACAAATTGTGGTATATGTACACCATGGAATACTATGCAGCCATAAAAAGATGGAGACTTCACATCTTTTATGTTTACTTGGATGGAGCTGGAGCATATTCTTCTTAGTAAAGCATCACAAGAATGGGAATAAAAGCATCCAAGTACTCAATACTACTATGAAATCAATATGTAACCACCTACACACTCATATGAATGGCAAAACATAACTATAGTCCAGAAAGTAGGAAGGAAGAGGAGAGAGAGGGGAGGGGAGGAGGGATATGGGAGGAGGGAGGGTATTTGCAGGGACCTCACCTAATGTGCATGATGCAATGGTGTGTTTCAAAACTATTAAGAAATGAGGCTTTTTCCGGGAAGGTGACAAAATGGCAGAAGTGGAGCAAAAGAAGAAGCAGACCTTCCGTAAGTTCACCTACCGTGGCGTGGATCTCGACCAGTTGCCGGATATGTCCTATGAGCAGCTGATGCAGCTTTACAGTGCCCGCCAGCGGCGGCGGCTAAACAGAGGCCTGCGCCGCAAGCAGCACTCACTGCTGAAGCGCTTGGGTAAGGCCAAGGAGGCACCACCCATGGAGAAGCCAGAAGTGGTGAAGACACATCCGCGGGACATGATCATCCTACCTGAAATGGTGGGCAGCATGGTGGGTGTCTACAATGGCAAGACCTTCAACCAGGTGGAGATCAAGCCTGAAATGATCGGTCACTACCTAGGGGACTTCTCCATTACCTACAAGCCTGTGAAGCATGGCCGACCCGGCATTGGGCCACCCACTCCTCCTGCTTCATCCCTCTCAAGTAGGCTGCCCAGTCAATAAAGATATTTCTCCAGTTAAAAAAAAAAAAATGAGTATAATTGTGATGGATGTGTTACTTAGTTCAATGTAAGCATTTCACATTGTATATCAAAGCAGTACCCTGAACTCCATAAATGCATCAATGTCCAAAGTTATGATTTAATAAAAAATAATTAATAAAAATAAAATAAAATAAAGTCACCCTCTTTTAATGGCTGAATAGTACTTCCTGGCAAGGCCCATATTTTCTACAGATGAATTTGCTCAGCTACGTCCCATGTGCTGGTGAGCGTAGAGTGAGTCTAACTTTCAGTCATTGGAAGGAGAAGCTGTGTTGAGGGCTACGTGGAGATTCTGTACGTCTGAACTGGGGATGGGGAAGTGAGTGGCTAAGAATTGGTAAGGCCATTCCAATCACACAATCCTCTGATTTTACACCAGAAAGGGAATTAGATTATGTTCAGTTGTTCCATTAGTCCCAGAAACTTAGGCCCCAAGAGGTTAAGTGATTTGCCTGCATTGACTTCAAAAGGCAGAGGAGAATATGCAAGGAATCCATTTCCCTAAATTTAGGGTTCTTAGAGACACCAGTAACCAAACCTAGATTCTGGACAGGGATAGTAAGAAATCGGTACCAATTACCCTGAAAGTGAAACTCAGTTAAACCTGAGTGGTGGTGGGTAAACATAAGGTAAGACTCTAGTCCATTATAGAGGATGTATTTCAAAAATAGCGTGATGTAGTGGAGAAATGTTTCCTAAAGAAACCCAGAGCACTTTTCTTTCTCAGGTTTCTTTTCATTGAAGCTTGAAACTCAAGTTCATCAAAAGAAGCTTCATCCAGCACTCTGGGAGGCGTAGGCAGGCTGATTGCCTGAGCTCATGAGTTGGAAAGCAGCCTGAGTTCTAGTAAGACCCCTGTCTCTAAAAATAGCCAGGCGTTTTGGCGGGCACCTGTAATCCCAGCTACTCAGGAGGCTGAGGCCATGACACCATGGCACTCTAACAGAGGTGACAAAGTGAGACTGTCTCAAAAAAAAAAAAAAAAAAAAGGAAAGAAAGAAGAAGCAGCAGCAGCAGCAGCTTCAAATCCTGAAGGTGAGATAGCTGTCACCTGGAAACCCTGTGTATTGTTCAACCCTTTTGCTGGGAATAATCACCTGGGAATCTTTCCAGCAGGTGGCTTCCAAAGTCCAACCTGCTAGGTTGAAATTTGACACGGACAGAGGCTGGGGGAGCGGCCACAGAAAGCTAAACCTGGAACCAGGAAATCCACAAGCCTCTTGAAGTAGAAAACAGCTGGGCTCCCTTCGGAGACAGAGTGCCATGGGAAACAGGCTCTGCTGTGGAGGAGGCTGGTGAGTAGGGCCGAAGGGCAACGGGTAACATCTCTGTTGGTGAATGCGGAGGCCCTGGGAATCCGGGGCCTGGAGAGCTGGGCAGAGCTGTCTGCCAGCCTCCCACTGCCACCTGTCCTGGCCTGGTTCCTTCTGGTTCCAAAACTGGAGCAGCGCCTCCTCCCCTGCTCACTCCTTTCAGGAGACATCAGAAAACAGAGCCAAGCCATTGTCTCTAGAATGGCCAGGGCGGGGCTGGACTGGTGAACTGGCATTGTTTCTCTTTGTCCTTCTCTTTTTCGCCTTCTCCAGATGATAATAATAATAGTAGCATTTGAGTTTTCTTGTGCCAGACACTTCACAATCTCATTTAATTTTCGCAGTACTTCTGGGAGGTAAGTGGTCTTACCCCTCCTCCCATTTTACTGACAGTTGAGAAGCTGAGAATCAGAGCAGTTAACTAACTTGCCTAAGGTCACATGGCTAGTAAGCAAGTAACTCTAGATTCCAACCCAGGCCTGCCTGGCTTCAGAGCCCACACTTTCAACCACTCTGCCTCCCAGATTGAGCACATCAACTTGGGAAAAATGTTTATTTAAAAGGGCAGAGTAGGAAGAAGGAAAATATCCATGAAATATCTGAATATAACTTTCACATTTATTTGCTATGTGACCTTAGGCAAATCCCTTAATATCTCTGCATCCTCAAGTATAAAAATAAAGATAACATGCCTGAGGCCGGGCATGGTGGCTCATGCCTATAATCCCAGCCCTCTGGGAGGCCAAGGCAAGTAGATTACTTAAGCTCAAGAGTTTGAGATCAGTTTAAGCAAGAGCAAGACCCTATCTCTAAAAATAGCCGGGTGTTGTGGCTGGTGCCTGTAATCCTGGCTACTTGAGAGGCTGAAGCAAGAGAATCACTTGAGCTCAAGAGTTTGAGGTTGCTATTAGCTGTGATGCCAAGGCACTCTACCAAGGGTGACAAAGTAAGACTGTCTCAAAAAAAGATGGCATGGCTCAGTGCCCGTAGCTCAGTGGCTAGGGTGCCAGCCACATATACTGGGGCTGGTGGGTTTGAATCCAGCCTGGGCCTGCTAAACAACAATGACAAGTATAACAAAAAAAAGTTGGTTGTTGTGGCTGGTGCCTGTAGTCCCAGCTACTTGGGGCTACAAGTAGCCCCTTCTCATTTAAGCCCAAGAGTTTGAGGTTGGCACCATGGCACTCTACCGGGGGTGACATAGTGAGACTCTGTCTCAAAATAAATAAAAAGATAACACGCCTCTCCAGTATTCAGACTGCAGGTTTATTTTGAAGAGCAAAGGATATGCCATATGTAAAAAATTCATAAGAAGTTATTCGCGGTATTGTTACTGTTCTTTCCCAGAGTTTTCATCACTGTCATAAGTTCCTGGACCTGGCTTTATCTTGTCTACTGCCTTCTTAGCTCCACCATTCAGTGCCCAGGTCAGATATTGAGGACGTCTTATTTATAAATGAAGCATCGTTATATTGAGAGAGACAGGTGAGGGACTTTGGAAAGCACAGGCTTGCTAGTCAGTACATTGGATTCAAGCCCTATCCCTACTACTATCATTTATCCATTCATTTCCTAAGCAAATATTTATTGAACATGTGCTATGTACCAGGCACTGTGATAAACACAGAAGATATAGTAATAAAAGGAAATTTGGTCATTGCTTTTTTTTTTTTTTTGCAGCTTTTGGCCAGGGCCGGGTTTGAACCTGCCACCTCTGGTATATGGGGAGGGCCCCCTACTGCTTTGAGCCACAGGCACTGCCCAGTCTTTGCCTTCTTGAGTAAGATATCAAAGATCTAGGGCCTTAGTTAAAACCATCTGTAAAATGAGAACAAAAGTATGTGTTTCCCAGAATGTTATTAGGATTGAAAAAGCAAATAAAGCATCCTTTAAACTCTGAGATATCCTACAGACACAGGACATCTAGAAAAGCTTACAAAGAAAATGATGTGACAGTTTCTTGCCCTGCCTTTTGTCCCAAGTGTTTGTGTTCTCACTCCACTACTGGTCAGTCCTCTTATGGTGACAGTCATTGGTAGTTAACTTTTACTGATGCTCGTTATACGCTAGGAGCATGCTAAATATCTTACATCTACTATTTCATTTAATCCTTACACTAAACCCATGATTACTGATTCAAACCATGAGGTTTGAATTCTATTATATCCTCATTTAATTAATAAGAAAACACAGGCTCTGGCCAGTTGCAGTGGCTCATATCTGTAACCCTAGCCCTCTCGGAAGCTAAAGAAGGTAGATCGCTTGAGCTCAGAAGTTCAAGACCAGCCTGAGCACGAGTGAAACCCCTGTTTCTAAAAATAGCCAGGTGTTGGCTGGGGCCTATAGCTCAGCGGCTAGGGCGCTAGCCACATACACCGGGGCTGGCTGGTGGGTTCAAACCCAGCCTGGGCCTGCCAAATAACAATTACAATAAAAAAAATAGCCAGGAGCCTGAGACAAGAGGATTGCTTGAGCCCAAGAGTTTGAGGTAGCTGTGCGCTAGGATGCCACAGCACTCTACTGAGGGTGACAAAGTGAGATTCTGCCTCAAAAAAAAAAAAAAAAAAGAAGAAGAAGAAGAAGAAGAAAGAAAGAAAAGAAGACAGAGGCCCAGAGAGGTTAAAAACTTGCTGAAGTTCTCATAGCTAACCTGACATTCAGGGCCCATTCTTTAGACACTATGCCAGACATTATAACCAAAATCCATTTGTCCTTTAAAAAATATTAATAATACTAGGTAAACATTGTCCTACCCTATTTTTATTATCTCAATAAATCTCCAGAGACTTAAACATGCGATGACCTCTGAAGAGATTTTATTTTAAAATGTTCTTTTTTTTTTTTAATTTTTTTTATTTTTTTGAGACAGAGCCTCAAGCTATTCCCCTGGGTAGAGTGCTGTGGCATCACAGCTCATAGCAACCTCCAACTCCTGGGCTCAAGCGAGTCTCCTGCCTCAGCCTCCCAAGTAGCTGGGACTACAAGCACCCGCCACAACGCCCGGCTATTTTTTGGGTGCAGCCGTCATTGTTGTTTGGCGGGTCCGGGCTGGATTTGAATCTGCCACCTTAGGTGTATGTGGCTGGCGCCCTAGCCGCTTAAGCCACAGGCGCAGAGCCTTAAAATGTTCTTTGTTGCTTTTTTTTTTCCTGATTACAGAGTAATAAATATTCGCTTTAGAAAATGTGGAAAATACCAAAGAGCAGAAAATAAGAAGCAACCATAAATACAAGCTCTCACAACTGACAGGAACATTTTAATGTATTTCTACATCTTTTTCAAGGTGCACAATTTTTTTATCCCGAAACATATCTTGTTGTCTATTTACTAACTTAATAACAAGTAAAAATTTCCATGCGGTTGGGTATTCTCCCAAGAGCCTTTCCTAAGTGGCTACGTAGTTTTCCATTAAGTGGATATCCCATTTATTTAGTTGGTTACCAAACGTCGGCCATTCAGGATATTTCCTATTTTTTGCAACAGAGAATAATGCTCTGATGAATATTCATATTTGTACATGTACAATTATTTTTTAGAATGTAGAATTGCTACCTCAGAGGGTAGTTGCATTTATGTTTATGTATACTTATTGCCAATGGCATTCTAGCAGGATTACATGAATTTGTATTGCTGTTACCACTGTGGGAGCGTGCCCGTTTAGTTTCCTTAATTCTGATCTAAAAATAAAACCCTGTCACTTATAAATCTCGCTGAATATTCCATTTGGGTTCTGTCCAGGCATTGTGCAATATCCAACCGGGGAACAGGCTCTGTTCGCTGAAGTTGGATGGCCCTCATCTGTGTATTTTAGAATTAATATTTTCTCTATCCCTTTAAATATAAATAAGTAGAAAAAGGGCAGTGACAAGGGACAGGGAATTAGAAGATTCTCTAGTTCCCAGGCTGAGGGTGATGGGGGGAAGCTAAAGCAGGAGCTTAATGGCAGAAGAAGAAAAATGCAGCAGTAGATTTTCTTCTGAACCACCTCTAGAGTTTGAGTGGAGACTGAACAGCTCTTAAATCAGCAAGCTGCATCAAAACCAAAAAATCAGCCTGGGGTGGCCCGAGGCAGGAGGATCCCCTGAGCTCAGGAGTTCCAGACCAGCCTAAGCAGGAGTGAGACCCTATCTCCCCTGAAAATAGGAGAACTAGCCTGGGGAGGGCATGGTGTTGGGCACCTGTAGTCGCAGCTGCTCGGGAGGCTGAGGCTAGAGGGTCATTTGAGACTTGAAATTTCAGGTTTCTGTGAGCTATGAGACCCATGGTACTCTACCCAGGGCGACAGAGTGAGACTCTTGCCTCAAAAACCAAACAAACAAAAAAGCCAGAAAGAAACAAAAAATCGCACCAAACACAAACCTCTGTCAAATGTGTGTGGAAAATTCTGATTCTTTTCTCCACAGTAATACAGTCAATGTAATTTAGAACTCAGTTTCTTTTCTCTTTTCTTTCTTTTTTTTTTTTTGGCCGGGGCTGGGTTTGAACCCACCACCTCCAGCATATGGGGCTGGTGCCCTACTCCTTTGAGCTACAGGTGCTGCCCTAGAACTCAGTTTCTTTTACCTCTTTCTCTCTTTAATAAGCAAAAGGAAACTTCCCCAGGGGAATGAGAAGTCAGACAGACAGATAAGGTTGGCTGTGGCAGAGCTGGAAATGTACTAGCAAGAAAAATCATCCCGAGTAAGCCCCAAACTATTCCGTTTATTTCCTCACACAAGTGTTGCTCTAGGCATCAAACAGGTGACAATCGTGTAGACACACAGGCTCCTCTGGGGACCCCTGGGGGCTCAGGAATATATAAGGTCTGCCCTGCAGCGAGGGCAGGAGAGCTGAGTCACTCACCAAATTCAGTACTCCCTGTTCTGTAGACAAAGTTCTCCAAAGAATGTTAAAGGTTAAACATCTCTCACTTCCTCCGTTAATTAAAAATAAGGACAAGGAAACAGGGAGAGAGGTCACTTGTTAGGAAAGGGCTTTTGAGGGGCCCTAACTTAGTGGCGTCGGCTGTGGCAGCTGCTGTGACTCTGAGAATGAAAGTCCCAGGTTGGCAAAGACCCCAGGGGGGGAAATAACACTGAAGAAGAAGGAGGATCTCTGGATCCCGGAATATCCCATTATTTGGCAGGTTTCCCTTAGTTTCTGCTGGGATTAGCTTGTTAGACAATCTCAGAATAGCCCTCAAGCCAGCTATATTCCTGGCATGTAAGTGCCTGGTTGCCTGAGGCTGTATTTTGGGTTTGGTTATGTCAGTTGTACCACTCCACCTTCCAGAACCATCCATTTGGAAGAGGTGTGGTTATCCTTGACAAATGCTTTGGGACTGAACCTGGCTTTGGATAAGGAATCTTTCTTAGAGGGAGGTGGGGGGAGCATCATCCCAGGATGTTAAGACGATCACCGAGCAAGTGATGAAGGAAGAAAGATAGAGCCCAGGGCTCTTGCACACGGATGATCTGTTTTTCCTATCACAGGAGCTGCCCATCAACTTTGCCGAACAAAAAGAAAACAGGTAACTTTGGGAAGGGAGGGACTCTGGGGAGCCAAATTAGAGAAGAGAGGACAACAGAACTGGCATCTTTGGAAAAGATACAAGAATAGAAAAGAGGGCTCAGCACCTGTAGCTCAAGAGGCTAAGGCGCCAGCCACATACACCTGAGCTGGTGGGTTCGAATCCAGCCTGGGCCCACCAAACAACAATGATGGCTGCAACCAAAAAATAGCCGGGTGTTGTGGTGGGTGCTTGTAGTCCCAGCTACTTGGGAGGCTGAGGCAGGAGAATCGCTTGAGCCCAGGAGTTGGAGGTTGCTATGAGTTGTGATGCCATGGCACTCTACCCAGGGTGACAGCTTGAGCCTCTGTCTCAAAAAAAAAAAAAAAAAAAGAATAGAAAAGAGGAGTGGACTTAGAAGGGAGAAAAGGAGACAGTACACCAAAGCAAGCCCTTAGTTTACTGGGTTCAACTAGATCTTATCCTTTCTCTTATTGCAAAGTGGCAGAGTTGGCTCATTCTTTCATTCCTCCCACACGTATTTACACACTTCCATTGTACACGAGGCACTCTGTACAATCCCAAGGAGGCAGAGAGACAGAGGAGGAAGGACATAGGATCTCAGCCCTGGAAGAGCTGACAATCGAGTATAAGAGATGATTTGTGTAAACAAATAATCGTAATATCATCTGGTTCTGTAACAGATGTACAGACATGCTGGGGGAGAATGAGAGAAGACGCTGATGGCAAAGGAATAACAGCAAGTTCACAAATCAGAGGAGGGAGGGGAGGGTGTTTTTAGGCAATCTGAGGAATCAGATCAGGCCAAAAAAGAGAGAGAAGATACTGACTTGACTAAAAGTGGCCTACTGGTGTGGCTGAGCACTAACATTCTAATAGTCTGTTTACTTATTAGTCTACTCTAGTAGGCTGTAAGCTCCCCAGAGCAGAGGAAACAGCCTACTTATCCTTCTACCTTCAGAACATGGCACAGAGGCTGCCTTGTAATGGCTATGAACATAGATTTATTGAACTATGTTAGGGGCAAGTGCAAAAATGAGGGTAGATGATATTATGGCCAAAGTTAGTTAGAAGTTAGAATAGTTTAACAGCGATTTGAAGAGGATCATCTCAGTAGAGATGGGGAAGAGAAAATGGCTTTAGTTGTATTTCTTCCCCTAAGGGAGCCAAGAAAAATGGACATTGAGGATGCACCAGGAACAGCTGCAGCAGAATGGCACACAGGTAAGGACAGACTCTGTCTCTTCTCTGGGGCTACTCAGTCACAGAATCCCCACACTCAGCTTTTTGGCCCTAGAGCAGACACCTGTACAATCATCTGTGTAATCTGCTGGGTTTGCCCATCCTCCACTTTCCCCTCAAGGAACAAAGTGAAGGAACGCCAGTCTAACTGGCCCTGTTTTAGAGATGGGTGGCAAAAGCCAGCCATGAATCTCCTTTAACGCTGTCCATTCCTTGCAGGGCCGTAAAATAACACGACGGACGTATAAGCAGGTGTCATGGCATGAAACACGCGAGAGGAGTCAAAGCATCCCGGTGGAGGACAGCAGCTTACATTACGCAGACATTCAACTGTGCAGCCGCACCCAGCCACGGCCTGCCCATGAGGTGAAACATCTGGAAAATACTACAGAATATGCAACCCTTCGCTTCCCCCAGGGCACACCTCGCTATGACAGCAAGAATGGAACCCTAGTATGACCTTTGGGGACGTGGGGCCAGTCCTTCCTTTACTGCTAGTCCTGTGCGGGGAGTCCACTGCTTGGGGAATTGAGTGGCAGTCAGGGATATGGGACATTTTTTAAAACTAAAGAACTCCAGAGCCCCTGGAATTGTTTCCAATCTCTCCCCGAGGCTTCTTATTTGCCACCATTGGCTAGGAGTTGTAGTTGGGTTAGCTATGGAAGGATAAAGTTCCTCAAAATGAGGAGGTTAGGTCAAGGGTGCAAGGAGGTGGGTCTTTAACCCCATCGTTGCTCCTGCTCTTTATAGAAGGTCAAAAAGAACTAGTTACCTTATAGGTGTGTGGGCTGATCGTGTTGGACTTTATTTAATAGTATCCCTTTTACACACCTTAAACTCAAATGCTGAACAGGAGTTGCTCTGGAAAAGCATTCTGAGCTCTTGCACACAGCCCCCAGGGATGGTTTGGGCACTTTCCTCTGTGGCTGCCTGGGTCGAGGGGTGCAGACAAATGCCTCAGAGCCTGACGCAAGGAGGAAGGCATTCTCCAACCATTGGCTACAAGGACTTCCAGTCACTGGTCACTGATTTCTGAGAGCACAGCGAGGTCCAGAAGTTTCCCTTGTTGGGACTGTTCTCTGGAGGGTGTGGGGCCACTAGGTTCAATAAATTGCTTAAGGAACGTGCCTTTCGCCTTTTCTGGGGTGGGTCCTGTCCAGCCTCAGGGCGGTTTGAATGTCCAGCCAGCAGAGGCCTTCCTCCCCTACTGCACAAGCGGCAGCCGCCGGCAGAGCAGCGATGTGGACATCGCTTGGGAGGGTAGGGGTTCCCAAGCGCCAGCGGGGGGCGAGCCAGTAAGGCAGGGGCGGGGTTAATGCCCGTAAAGGGTGTGGCCTGGGCCGTTAAGAGGCGGGTCTGGCGCGTCAGAGGCGGGGTCTGGGTTGGAAGGAGGCGGGCCGCGGAAGGCAGGGGGAGGGGCCAGGGCAGGCTGGGAGCGGGGCCGGCCCAGCGCCCGCCTCCGTATCACCATAGCAGCGGGAATGCAGCAGCAACGCTGGAGCTGGGGCAGACGGAGCCCACAAGGGCTGCGGACGGAGATGCTGAACCTGACGGACCGATAATGTAGGAGGTAGGGACTGAAAAGTGCTGGGTAACTGGAAAATATTATTACTGCCGGTTGAGTATCTAGATTAGAACTGGGGACACGCGGAGGGGGCGAGAATGGGGTAGGAAGAAAGAGGCTAAAGTTTCAGAGTCCAAACCCGCTTTGAGCCTTGTAGATTAGTATGCAGTTTCCGCTTCAGACTTTCAGAGCTCGGAGAAGAGGGGTAACGCTTTTCTCTTTATCAGCCTGTACCCTATCCTCCCAAATACCGCTGCCTCTCAGTTGGTCCCTAAAAGGGATGATTCCCCAGAGAGCGGTAGAGTACTGAAAATAGAATCGTAGCACACACATACAAAATATTTGGCAATAATGGTATCAACCTCATAGAACATTTGTGAGAATTTAAAGTACTTGGAACAGTACATAATTTATAGTCAAACGTTGGCTGCCACCATTATCGTCATCGTTATCACTGTTTCTCGGGGCTGTTTTCTGGTAAGTGGTTTCAGAAGCAGTGGGTTTAAAGGACTGCCTCCACCACTAATCGGTGGAGGAACTTCCTTAGGCTATTTTTATATATTAGGTGAGGGTTAAACCATTAACTCTATCTCAAGGGTTATTTACTGTAAGGATCAAATACAGTCTGATGGAGATGATAGCACTTTGTAAAACTCAATTTCTGCCTTAGAGTACTAAATGCTGTCTTCCTAGATTAAAATTGAATTCCCGAGGAAAGAGGGAAGTCAGTGCCAGAAGCGGAGCTCCCAGTATTTCTTTCAATTATCTTCGCTTGTGGTCCCAGACCGATGAGTAAAGGGCAGAGGTAAAACGTATCCTTATTTGACTAGGGAGAGGGAAGCATTGCTCTTTACTGTATTACTATTAAAACCTAAGTGACTGGGTTTTAAAACGCCACTAGGATAACCCCGTTGTACTCTTGGGCTGGATTTCCTGCTGATCAAAGTCCTATTTCTGAGACTTCAGGATGATTTAAGTAGGTAGGTTTGGGAGAGTGGCCTGACTCCTGCTAGTTTGGTTTAGCCTTTTAGATTTTTATTTTCTGTTCTACACATTTTGCACATTTTCTTACTTTTCCTGTTTAAAGGTGGCCATGCTTCGGCTCTTCTAAAGACTCTGAAGATGGGGACCCAAGTGGTTATGAGATTCTGTAACTCCTTGCCAAGAGAGCCCTCTGTAAGTTTCTGGTATATTGTTGAAAGGAGTATGGTGACATTACTGGAATTTCAGTATGGTTCTTTTTAATTTCATTTTATTTTAATCTCTCCCTCCCTCCCTTTGATACAGTTCTACATGTGAGGGATCTCTCCATCAGGACTCAGATGCTGCAACAGAGTTATAATATATTTGCTGCCTTCTTTTGTTTCTCCTTTTTGTGGAAATTCTAGCTCATGTGGGGATTGATTTATTTTCTTCTTCTGGAATTAATAAAATCAGTCAGAGGTTGAAAAATGCTAGCAGTTAATCAGAATGTATGCATTGGTTATAGGAGTAAAAGTTTGTTATAACAAGAAGGTATGTTAATTACAGAGCCTTTGAAAAACATTGCAAATTATGATTTTAAAAATCCCCATGATTCTCCTGTCCAGAGCAGCCACTGTTAATATTTTGGAATATGTTCTAATCATTTTTTTGTATGTCTATTTTTTTACATGAGATCATAGTATGTGCACATTTTTTGACTTTTTTCCCACTTAATATTTGTTAATATAAAATTGTTAAAATGTTTGTTTTAGTGTTGGTACACATTTGGTAAACATAATAATGGCTGTGATTTTCTTGAACTCACTGGTGAGACTTTGAGCTTCCCCTGCCTCTGCCTCCCACATTGTATATAATTATTTCATCGTTTAAGACTACATCAAAGAATGTGACTATTTTAAGTAGTGTTATCTTGTAAAAGAAGAATTATAGTGTCAGATTTGGTATACATCCTTCAGAAGACAGCTGGTCATCAGCTGGGAGATAGAAAGGTTCTTAGCAGAAATATGACTATCTCTTGCAGTGCTCGCCTGGGTCCTGCAGAAGGTGATTTTCTTATAGAGCCATTAGTAACGTCCAGCCCTAACACATGACAGGCAGTCTGGAAGCATGGAGGCATTTTCAGGGTGTTTTCATAGTAGAGAAACTCAAGGATCACTTCAAAGGTATCCACCAGATGGCGCTAGTCCTAATCTAGTTTTCACCCACAGGCTTCCTGGCAGATAACTTTCGAAATGCGAATTTAAAAAATTCACGTAGAGTGTATTTGCATATCTGCTTTGGTATGGTTTATATTAAGCACTTGCTTCTGGTGATTACTTTGGCAGCATCTTACCTCTAGTCTCTCACCATTCTGTCTTTTCTCCCTTCTACCCACTCAGTCTGTCACGCTCACCCTATACACTCTGTCCTCATATACCAGTATTGGATTTTGTTTTACTTGTCTTCCTTTTACTCTTTTTTCCTCCAGTCTGATATCTTTTTTTTTTTTGCAGTTTTTGGCCGGGGCCAGGTTTGAACCCACCACCTCCAGCATATGGAGCTGGCGCCCTTACTCCTTTGAGCTACAGGTGCCACCCACCTCCAGTCTTTTTTCTTGTCTCTGTGTGTTGTGTGTATATTTGTGTATAACCGTCAGTTCTTCAGGTTTTTGCTAAAAGAGTAGGACTTGGCATATAATGACATATAATCTGAACATATATTTAATGAATTTTTTTTTTTTTTTTTTTTTT